AAACAAAATAATATAATAAAATGAAAAATAATGAGACTGCCATTTTCAGATATGACTAAATGTAATCTTCTCCATAAACAATAATTAGGACAATTCCAGATGGAAAATCTATGGTATACCACAAGCGTACAACAATAATGAAAACAAAATTATTAATAATAATAATAATGAAGAAATTACATTCCTTTCTTGGTTAATTTTTTTTTCCTTGCAGGAAATTTTCTAACTGTGAATACATCTGTACTTTGTTCTCCTTCAAATTTCAAACAAAATGCAATGCAATGATTAATGTGAATGAACTTACAGTAAGTGCACTTTGATGTCCCAGTAAGGATTCGCTAATCACTTAACTTAATTTAACATACAGAGAACATACCGATAACGATTCATTAAGATGGTCGTTTGATTTTAAACCATTATGAAAGGGATTGTGACGCAGGACTTGCTATCTGTCCTGAGCCCAAAAAAAGGGACAGATAAGATAAAGGAATGTTCTAAACTCATCTTCGAAGTATTTGTACCAAAAAAAAAAATTTCACCTGTTCACCTATCGAAGCAGATACATGTGGGAGATAGTTTAGAAACAAATCTGTGTAATACTTTTGCTTTGCTTAAAATACTGACATTTAATAAAAAGAACATCATCTATATCCCCCACTTTAACAGACCCAGAGGATAACGGTAATAAAAATTCACTTAAACAATTAAATATTTGACTATCTTCTTGACATTGATTTAATTGAATAATGTTCAGTGAGTTTAGCAGGTTACCTTCTCTAAATATTTTTGGAAATTCGGTACAATATTCTCTTTCGCTTATTTGAATCATTAATCAAGTAAAAGCTAGGAGGCGCGACGATTCCAAAAAATGTAGAAATTACATTAATTTTAATTTCAAAAGCATTTTGAACTCCTAATTTAATACAGAAAGTTAATAACATATTTGATCATCAAGTTTTAATTGAGATTCTAAAATGCCAATGCAGTATTTTTTTTTCTGTAGTTTAGTAGACACATCTGGGTGCTATTTCTCTTTTAATCCACTACTAGCAAGGGAAGGGGGCGGACTAAATTGAGTGAATGACTCAAATCATGCCTTGAGTATTCAAATGAAGTTTGTGTGTGGTATAGGTTAGACAAGGAATCTAAACTACAATGAGGCTAGGCCAAAGAATTGATGACACATACACGCAAAGGCTTCCAGGGTAAAAGGAAGACCCCAGGAATAGCAACCTGTTGATGCAATTAATTAAAATTGACATATAGGATGGTTGTGGAAAGATTACATTTTATAATTATGTGTCTTTAAGATCAAAATTTTTGAAATGGCCCTCAGCCAATAGGTTTTCAACATACCAAATGCAAAAGATATTTAATTATTTATTTATTTTTTTTAAATAATAAAAAAGCTTTCCATCATAATAAGGACTTCACAAGAAAACCTTCATGGTCTAGTGGTATGATGTCGTAAGTAGAAGCTCCTGGGTTCACATCCCAGTGGAGATAAATTATTTAACCCTTGGTCACATTCCTTGTCAGTTACGTTTCATTGGTTGTAAGTAATCATGAAATATCCATATACAGCTTGCGTTCCTAGGTTACTCCTATGTCTAACATCTTCAGTTTTCCTTCCCTCCACTTATTATTGTACAAGGAGGCCCTAAACCGGTATAATCTAACTGAATACTTGGTACACTTAAATTTGATGTGACATACTTCTTATAATAAAGAAACACAGGATAATTTTCTTAACTGAATCCCCCTATTAAACTACACTACTTTTCATACTGTCTAAATTAGCTAGCAAGTTCTGAAGAACATCAAGTTACTTATTGGTTCCAAAGGAGATGTGTGTACCAGGTGAGTATTCTGATATAATTATGGAAGCCCCCACTGAATTCATAAATTATTTTTAATTCATCTTACACTATCATTGAAACTTGAAAACTATACAGTTATTTAATTATAGTTTGGTGCTTTCTACATTCTAGGAAAGATGCGAATATTGGTCAAGGGTTGCTAAAATCTAAATAACTAGATTGTGTGTTCCACAATTATGTGGAATGTTTTAAATAATAACATTTGAATAAATAAATTGTCTATAGACAATGCATACAGGCAAATTAACAAATTTCTATAGACAAAGTGTTGCAAATTGTTAAGTTTTTGTTATGATTAATCCCTCCACAGTGTTTTGTAAATTATCAGAAAATGTTATGGTTGAAAATTTTGTTACATTATTTTTTCCAAAAATAAAGTAGTGGAATAATTAAAGGAAAAGGCCAGAAAATATGTACTGTATATATGCAATGAATCCCATAAATAACTTGTTTCCCTTTCTCTAAATTACCTTAAAAAGGACAAAATTTGGTAAATTAAATTAAATACCAGAAACACTTAAATCTAATGTAAATTTCCTGTAATCAGGAAACACCATTTTATTACCTTAACCCTTTCAAATAACACCACTTTACCCACTTGCCTTTAGTACTTATCCACAGCTGTTTTTTTGGTATACACTGCGCCAGGCATTTCGATACAATTTATGAATCGCTTCGTAACAATGACTTGATAGCGCTTCATTATCTCTCTTATGTTTTGTTTTAATAAAATGCTCTATAGCAAATGATGCATCTCATTCTAGGATGACTAAACATTCCGCTTGTCTTGCTGAGAAGGGGTCTGAACAAAGGGGCTGGCAAGGACCTCTGGTCAGGGTCCCAAAAGTAAACTTCTTGTGGGATTCAAGGGGAAGAGATTTTATGCTTCAGGAGAATAAAAGTTGACAACCTTAAATAGTGTTGGATGAAAAGGAGAGGAAGAAGATACCACAATCTGGATGGTAAGTAAAGAGATTCTGTAGCTATGTTAACATGAAGTACATGTAAGGATTCAACTATACACATATAAATGTGCACATACACTGTACACACATCAATAAAGGACTAAGAGAAAGAAATTATTACCTGGATGGTGAGAAAAAAAAGCTATAACTACATAATCAGACATACTACATACATGAAAATGTGCATAGTATCTGTGATAAACATAGTTGTTACAGTATACATGAGTGGGTATATTACACATAAACTTGCATTGATGAGGTTTACCTCGTTGATTTTCAGACGTAGATATGTTGACATCTTGCACTTCACTATAAATTCTTTCCTCAGAGTGATATTCACGAGGTGGATAGCAAACTAAAATAAATCATGCGTGAAAAAATGGAGGCAAAGAGACAATAAAGAGCACAAAATGTGAGAATTCAATGATACTAAAGAAATGTAAAACATATTGAGAAAAATAAAGCAAAATGAGTATAAGAAGGCAAAAACACAAGCTAGCAATTGGGAAGAAGTATATAATGAGTGACATTTAAGGAAAAAACAAAAACAAGGGATAGGAAAGAGAAGAATCCATGGATATTAGGACAATAATTGTTAACAAATGAAAAGAAAGGTTATATTTCAGAAGCAAGGGTTGAGGTAGGAATATTAAATAAAGACAAAAAAAAGTCATGCTAAAAAAATGAAAGTAATACAGGTGGGTGATGGATGCAATGTCATTGCGGTGTTGTAAGGGAAAATAATTAGTACATTTTTTGATAAGAACATGACAAAATGTCGTTAATTAAATAAGAGGTACAAATCTGGCCAGCTACCAGGTGAAAAGGTAATCAAGCTGACTTAATACTGTAGCTTATATATTAAAATTAATTAGTTGTTTTAATGTAATGCAAGTGCAATTAAAGCAGATTATAGATAGTATATATTATATTTTATATACTTATATTTTAATATATTTATTGATTTATGTTTATATACATTTGGTGCTATCTCCAGGTTGAAACTGAATATCTCTCAGCTCAACATTTCAAGTTTCAATAATTTGCCCTCTGTATTTTCTTGACTACCTTGCATGCAACACTTTCCCCTTTTTGCTCAGTCCACTATTTTAGCTGTTTATTTGTGAGTTCTATACAACACGATAGGTTTAGCTGTATGCTAAGGTCGTGGGTATTTCAGTGACATCGATGGGTAGTTATCATAGGACACATGTGTTCTTCAACACTGGATTTAATCCAATGAAATGCCTCGCAAGAAAATTGTTTAAATATACCCAGCAGGGAATGGCAGCTTGTGCGAACTGAAATAACAGCATTAGACACTAAAATTATTTTAAAACTCATTCTAATTTTTAATTTTGCTTTCTGAATTATTTTGTAGGTTCATCCGAACTAATAAATTTGTATTGCCATGCAGAACACATAGTTTTTGTATTATCCTATTCTAATTGACTGCTAGCTTGATCTAGCTAATTACTGCTATATCCAATTAAATGTTACCATTTTTATCACTATTTTATTATGTAGGTTTTAATTTCTATATTTAATATAATAATATATTCCCATTCAAAGTTTTGATTACATAAATTTGAAGAAAACAAGATATTTAAATAAAAATAGAATAACAAATCTTTTGGTTACATTATAATTCAGTTTCTCAAATTAATGGGAATATGCATATAAACTATTGTAATTAAACATGAATATTTACGGTAAATATCTTGGAATACCATTATAACATTTACTTTATTATACTTATTACACATTTAGTCCGTGATAAGGCAACTATTAGTCAGCATAAATAATAACTAGTTACAGACTAGAGAGAAATGACTTAAAGTGAGCGAAGTCTAGATTCCTTATGTATCGATGCATTTTAAGCATATGGCATCAGCAAAGAGCAGTTGCTTCCGCATACACATCGCCAATAAATGGTCTTCAATCAAACACTGACAAAAGTGTGTTGTAATAAAATTGGTAGCAGAAAAGCTAATTGTAGAGCCAATAGATGTTTCCTGACTTCAGAGAAATTGATGATAATAGAAGCCTGTTTAACAGTTATGATAATCGGCATTAACTACTAGCTTTAACATCCTTCCACACAAACCAAGTTTTGTAAGGATATGTAACCTGTTTAAAAGTATTCTATTAATGATTATATATCTGTTTTTGTTAATCATTTTAAATGATTACTGCAAAATTTTAAACAGTAAATGCTAAATCTTTATTTTTTTTCAGTTGTGTAGTAAATAACACCATGTTTTGCCCATAGACACATGAATTAAGACAACCATCGGATATGTACCAAACAATCTGATGAGAAGTCAAATGCCTTCCCGCTATTTCGTATAAAATAAAATATACTTCAAATATGGCTTTTTGCAATAGAAACCATTTATGAAGAGAAATTGCTGTTGAGATGGAGAAAGGGGTAATTTGTTTCCCCACACTTTCTAAGACATCTTCACTATTCATAATACATTTTCATGTATCAAAAACATCATGTGTCTATTACCAATTTAATAAATTCTAAAATAGATTTAAATTTTCTGTTTGAAATTTGTTTAGTCATCCATAAATTACTAAAGGAAATCAACATATTTATGGAGATATCATCCATTCTTTTGCTGTTTTAGGTACCTACATATGTCACACATCAATGACTTCCGCATAAAAATAGCACGCTGTTACGAATGGCACCGTATCATCTTCAAACGATACATTGCAATGATTGACATTCAATTATCTTCAAGTGATAATTTCATAAATTCAATGCAGTTTCGTACTTAATTATTTCTTAACATACTCAGTCTCACGAGCATTTAGAGACATCTTGAATGAGATAACGCTTAAGTGGGATGCAACTTTTTTTAAGTTCTTTGATTTCTAAAAATGCTTTTCCTTTAGACTGATATGTTTTCAATTGTGTGGAAATTACTGATGTCAAAAAATAAGTCCAAACAAAGCACGAAAAGAAATGCGTTAATGAATTTCTCTCACTGTTATTGTTAATGTGATTATCGTTTTGCGTCGTCGTCAAACGCTACGTACCCAAAGGCACGTTTTTGAGGAAATTTCCCAGCCATAGTACTTGTGGTACGTAAGGCGCAAGAATTAACAGGAAAAATCAAGTCGTGAATGGAAACTCGTGAACAGAAACAGGAAATCAACGTGCTGAAACATGTCTCAATGTTGCTTACGTCTTTTCATTATAACTTTGTTTTTATATTTGTTTTCTATTATACTTCCGAGAATTTGTGCATATGGCCATTAAAAAGCAGGTAACAACATGCAGAATATATCAACAATATGGATAAATCATAAATTTAGTCTACATATATTTGAATAAGTGTTTCATCCAGTTTGTTAGCACTTTGATAAAATATCAGTATATTTTCAGTAAAATTCGCAATAGGTACATGGTTGGATTATATAATACTGCATAATATACTCATATTTGCAAAATTTGTATTAAAATTAGCTGGGAATGAATATATAAGGTTAATTCAAGTAGTATGTGTTGCAAATATTTTACACCTTAGAAATACATACTTACGTTTACAAGTTTGCCACTTATTTTTATAATAAAATATGCTTTGTTGTTTTAAAATAAGTCAACATATATTTTAAGAAGTACTTTGTTAAATAAACATTATATATGGGAGAAGTATGTTATAATAACAAATTAGTTTACCTGCATTTGATTCCATTGTTCAGAATACATACTGAGTAACATATACTACATATTTATAAATAGTGTCAGACATATATACAATGAAATACAGCCAAAATTACAATGAAAGCAACAGAAAAAAATACCACAAGACATACCAGGGTCATCATCAACAGTTGGATTGACAACATCATATATTGGTTCAGGAGTTCGATCTGGTAACAAGAACACCATGCAAAAGAATATAAACACCAATTGCAATAAAATACAACACATGCTTCCTGTTACTTAGCAACAGCATATCCACAATTAATATGATATACTCCACAAAACAAGTCCACCAAAATAAGCATTTCTCAAGTCCACACTCAGCTAGTGTTTAAGTCAACCAAACTGAGCTTTAGGTCCACTACAGTAGGATTATTCTAGACAAATTGGGTTTGGTTGATCCTACCAATAAGGGGCCCTTCATTTGCCATCCAGTAAATTTGGTGGAGTATGTCATAAATTTAATAGCATAATCACACAAAGTAATGAATTAAAATCTGAGATATTAAAAAAAAAATTGAAATATCAACACATTAAAATACAGTATTGCATTCAGAGACAAAATTCATCAAACGGCAAGAATTACATTTGAAAGAGAATGAAAGAAAAAATATATCTATATACTAATGACACAAATAAACAACAGAAACAATGCTACAATAACGATGATGCCACTTTCTAATTTGAAGTGCTTTAATTGATGAAAAAAGTGCGAAATAAATGGTACTTGATTGCACTAATAAGATGTTAATAAAAATGATAACACCTAAAATATAAATTAACAAGTTTTAAAACCACTTAAGAAAAAATGACACAAACCAACATATAAAATGATACCAATGAATACTAAGATATACCCATTTCTTTACACAATATTTGTCTGAAGACCAAATAATGCACAATAATCACAATTTACAAACCAGTTCTTATTAGATTCTTTCAACAATATACATTTTATTGTTAATGTGAGTGCTGTAATTGAAAAATGGGCAGGATTTCATCTCAGATGAAATCTGAAGTTTTGCAAACTTGTTCAAATCCTTGCTAAGCAGGGCTAAACTGACTTCAAACTTTAAAATAAGCAGCATATGTAAAAGATTGTAAAAAATTATACATATTGAGTCAATGCCACAACTTAATTCAAAATATCAAGCTAAGGACTAGTTATCAACAAAAATCAGAGACCTTGATCAGGTTTTTTGTTTTTTTGTTTAAGAAAGTCTGTGAATTAGATGTACATGATGTGTGTTATGTATGTGAGAATGCAAAGTATGATAAGGTCTATAGGGACATCACAAAAAGATACAAAATCCACAAATATTAACTTCAGTGTGTGAATTTATTGAAAGCCTCTGGGGTCCTGAGACTCTTGCAAGCCAGTCTCAGAAGAATAGCAAAGCGTCTGCATTTTCAAGAGCAAGCAATAATCTTGTGCAAAACTAGCCATTTGCTATACATTCAGAATGTTTGCATATTTTTATTATTGCTTTAGTTATTTTCTCCTCTGAACTCAATAAATAAACATTAATTTATCTGCCTAAAGGGGTTAAAAAGCCCTAAAACTTTTTCATTGGCCAATTCAAAAGAAGAAAAAAAGGTGTATCAGTTGAATTTAGAAGAGCCTTAACACTGTGAGCCTTTCTAGTTACAAGGATGAATATAGAGAAAAAAATGAATGGATCAAGCACACTGCCTTAAGGAACACAAGATTAAAGTGGTGTGTGCCAACAACCAAACCTATTACTTAGAAAACCACATTGAACTAAAAAATAAAGATGAAAGCTACTAGGAAAGCACTGTTACCACAACAAATTGTAATCCTGTAATTATCACATAGAAATTAAGTTGATGTTATCTGGTTGAAAGTGGTAACAATTTTTGTGGTCTAGTGTGATAAAGATTTGAGACATTGAAGTCTATCAGAATGATAGGATTAGTGGGAATAGTAACATTAAGCTAAATGACACAGTGCCAACTAGTCAAAAAGCTTTCAATACGATAAAAAGGCACTCAAGAATACATAACAAATTTAATAAAAAAAATTATGATATTGAGAAAGGTGGAAATGAAAAAGGAAGTAGTTGTACTAAAATTGACTCCACCCATTCATCTGAAGTAAAGTTGCCAGTGCAATCCAGGCATGAAGAGAAGGAAATGGGGATAAGCCACCTAAGATTAACTTGTAGAGCTGCTTGGACTTGGTGTAGGAATCACTAAACAAGTCCATTTGTGCGAAAACAGCAAAAGTGAAGATTGAGACGTTGAACTTCAGTAACAGACACGGCTGAAAGTTTGCAAAGCTTTTTTTAAGTCCAAATATCCGTTTTACTTGGCAATGGTAGAAAGTAACAGACATATTACCAAAATGAAAATGAACTTTTGAACAGTCAAAATCACATGTACACTTATGAAAAAAATTAAATATTAGCAACCATAATTTAGAGTACTAAATGATATTTCTTTGTATTAAAACATATCAACAACTCAATAAAGAAAAAAATATTATTTATATCTATTTCCTCTGAATATTTAGTGGCCTAATGTTTAGATTAGATTCAGACCATTTCAGACTTCACCACTGAAAAATATTGTCAATGGCTATAATTATTTGCATCGCAATAAAAAAAATAACTTCTTTATATGTTTGTTTTTATATACAAATGTTTCAGTTTACTAATTATTATATGATCAAATGCTATTCAAATATACTTCATCATGAAAATGCAAAGAACAATTATAAAAGTAGAGGCTAAATAAAAAAAAAATGCATTGTTTAAATGCATTGCTTCAAGTTTGCATTCGTTAAAAACATAATTAGTACAGTACTATCAACACTCCAATGCTAAAATGTGAGTAGGCAGTGGTTGGCTTACTTATGTTTAAATGCATTACTATAATTCTGTATCTTCATAAATGTGGGTTAGTACTATCAACACTTTAACACTATATATGAGTGGGTAGCGGATGGGTTAACATCCATATCCACTTGTCTTCAGTTTCAGAAACTGACACAGGGGAGGCTTTCTACTTGATAAGCTGATGACGCGGGTCTCGATACAAACATGTAGAAATAGAGGGGCTTGGATATCTGGGTTGCTCAAGCTTCCTGCGCTCTTGATTTGCATCTATCATGAGTGTGATGAAACATTCAATGTTTATGCTATAAAAAACTAGAGCAATGACATGAACTTTTGTGATGAAACCAAATTCTTTACTTGAAAATATTGAGACACTGTAATATGAAGTACAGTTAAAATTAATATGGTTTACACAGAGATACCAGCAAAACACCTCACCCCCCTGTTTTGTGTCCTTTAAAAATTTGTTTTGCATCTGAATTTTGACAGAACAATAGGAAACTTACATACCTGACCTGTAATAGAGTAGAATAATTAATAGGGATTACCAAAAAACAGCTAAAAAAAAAACCCCCATATTTTCTTATCCCTAAAAAAGCTTTTAAACATTAGAAATTGAGGAAATAACATACTACACGTCAAAATGTACAACAACCTTATTGTTTAAGGGTCAATAAATCTATGTTTTTCACCAATCTGAAACAGACACTTAGAATTTTTTCTAGGTCAGATCTATTAATGAATTCATTTTCTTATGGTGTTAAGTCTTTTTTCCTTTAATATTGCCCTTTAGTTTAATGAACTTTTGGCAAGCTATTTTCTTTCCCACCAGACTGAACATAAGGCTCAAATAAATAGAAATATGTTTCTTTACTTTAAACCGTTAATCTCACCTCTCCTGCCACTCCTCTATCTTTCGTTTCTTCCTAAAGAAGGTCACTGACACTATATACATACAACTGTACCTAGGCTTAGTCCAGTCCACAGTTGCAACACCATCGTCTGAAATCTGAGGAGGGAGGGGCAAAGGTAAAATTTTAAGGGAAAAATATGCTGGGGTGACCCTAGGTGGGCATGGTCTGGCGTCACTCAAAGTCTCGAAAGTGGTCCAGGTAAGGCGAAGCTCCCCCACCCCCGCAAAAAAAAAAAAAAATTACAATTTAAGGGTTTCAGAAGTTAATTTAATCAATTTTATAGATAGATAGTCTACTAGTATATAGAAAATACACATTTCTTTTTCTCCCCAATGAATTTTGGTTTTTCTTCTTTTCTTTGGGGGGTTTGGGGGGGGGGGGGAGGCAGGGGAAAATGGGGGAACAAGAAAATTTCCTGGGGAAAATTCCCCATGCCCCCTGTAGCGTCACCACTGCCAGTCCAAGCCAGAAAAATGCCTTGCTTAATATAAAATTTTCTGAGTGTTTGCCTCTCAAACACTTGTCTTATAGAATCAATATTTTTTTTTAAATATTTGGTCTAAGATTCAAAAATTATATTTGTTTTTCAAAACTGTTTTTCTTTTTTAGATGATTTTTATGAATGATTAGAGAGAAATTGTAAACAACATTCCAAATTTAATTCTTTTTTGAGAAGTACACCCGATCCAAAAACTTACGGTCTATAAATACATGATGATTAATAAATAAAAACAAACATAATTAATGTAACAATTGGTCAATTAAAATGTTTCAATGACATATATCTTACATCATCATCAAAGTCATCATGGGCTTGGTCTTACTCCGAAAAAACAATTAATTAAAAAGGAAGCATCGAATTAACAATTAACCGATGGATCACCAGTATAATCGGAGTCGTCTCATCAATGACAGCACCTATTTATTTTAATGATTTGACTGGCTGCAGCATGAAAGTTATAGTAAGAGAAACCTGCTGTCTACCCGCCCGTCTTAGTAAGTTTCCTATGCTGGCCACATCCCTACTGACCTTCAATGGGACCATCTTTAATTATATTCACTTAAATGCTTAATTACTTTCATTTGAAACAGCTGATTAATCTTTCATTTCTCTCTTTGCATTGATGTTTTTAGAATTAATTTTGTTATTAATTATTATTCTCCAGTTAGTATATTAATGCTTGCCGAAGTTGTTTTAAATACTGCAATTTATATGATAAGCAAATAGGTATATTTAGTAACATTAATTACGACAACGCTTACATCAGTGAAAGCACTGAATTTCACAGGGCCCTCGGTACATTAAACCAGAGCCTTGCAGGCCTCAACGTTCCTATGCATGATACATTGACTTCACAAACCATATTTTCTTATTAAGCCATCATAAATGACATA